TATATACTCTACCAAAAAATTATGAAATTTGGATCCTTAGTTTTTTTCGCCCGTTGGGTGCAACTAATTCACCCACGGAGAATCAACTTGTCTAAGTGTATAGATTAATTGAGTTGAATCTACTTTATATCTTTTTACAAAAGAAATTGTCATTTTATCATCTCACACATACAAGACAAGTAAAATATTGTGTCTATCCAACTATCAACTCATAACATATTGGGGTCCAGGCTAAGGAAAAAGGGGACTAGCTAGTAAGGAGAATAGAAGCACATTAACATGATGGGAAAGAAATGTTTGTAGGTAAACAATTTTTGTTAAAAACTATTGCAATACAACTTGGAGCCAATTAGTTGTATTGGTGATGTGGTAAGAATGATAGTGGATTTTTCTATTTGACACAAATTGAATAGTCACTCTTGCCTTCAAAGTTATTTTGTGCTAAACAAATGAATTGTCACTTAGCTTGCCTTCAAAGTTGTTTTTATGTTGCGTTCTATTCTTATATTTATGCTCTATAATTGAATTAACATGTTTATTATTAATTGAATTAAAGAAGCAGCAAAAATACCTCTTAACTAACATAACCCGTAAATTTCCAAGGTTCTATCTAAGCCTTAAACTCCATTTTAGGAATTTGAATAAAATGAATGTTGTGATACTTAATTAATCAAAAGACTCTTAATAGTCCCTTGAGTTTACAAGGAACTATTTGTCTTTGAACTCTAGAAGTTGAATTTAGTTTCTTGCTATCCATCTAAACCATAACACATAATCTCTAACAATAATAGACTATGAAATTTTGTACTTCATATTAGTAAATAAATTAGCATAAATCTTAGTGTTACTTTCTTCAAATGATTCACTTTTTCTCAATTAATTTTGTTGACATAGACAATGAAAATACATCATAATTTAGGACCTTAATTTTTCCGTCCAGTCAATTTATCTAATTGTAATTAACCCGATTCAATTGCCTTTCACTCATCATTTTTATTAGAGTGTATCATTACATGTCCAAAATAACACAGATTTACACGTGATTTTATTACAAGGAGCATAAACCGATATGATTTTGTGTATGTGGGTGGTGAAAACCAAACGAATATTGTTGATCATGGGAATGTCAAAATACAGCGCGTGGTTGAGAGTGGAGACCCAACAATTTGGCCACCACCACTCCAGACACCCACACTGCTTCTTTTAGCATTTCGCTCCTATTCTCTCTCCTCTTTTCTCTCTCCAATTTTTATTTGCATTTGCAATCTAAGCTTTACATAAAGAATTCATCTTTATTAATTTTATTTTAGGTTCTCTTCTAAAATTCCAGATTTTTTATACATCAAAGTTAATAAAAGTTGCTTAACATGTGCCACACCATTTTTGATTGATTGTCTTCTTCCTTTCTTACCCCTGTAAATTCATCCCCTTAAAACTATATATTAAAATTTATATGAAAAGTATAAAAGGGTATGTTGTTTTAATGGAGGAGAGCAAAAGTAGCTGTTTTTCTTCGTGTTCAGGTGATTCTCTCTCTCTCTCTCTCTCTTTTTTTTCTTTTTTTTTTTGCATAATTTAATTTAATTATAAGTTTATAACCCACTTTGAAACTTTAATGAACCAATAATTGAATTTAATATATACTGGATTTTTATAGGCTTTTTAATGCATCCGTGCTTATTAAGGAATTTGCATTCATCATAAATGCTAAAATGCAATGCAATACAATAATTCTCAAGTTTGTTTGTTTGTTTGTTTTTTTTTTTTTTTTTAAATATTCTTTTACAGGTAAATAATACAATACCCAGAATTTGATTTGGGGAGTATGGTTGAATAAACAAATTCTGAAGGGTTTATTGATCTGGGTTTTTTTTAGTACTCCGTATGTATTTGTGAAAAAAATTGGTATTTTTCTGGGAAAAATTGATTGAAAAATGGAGGCAGGAAGCCCACCCCAGAAAAAAATGACAAAACAGTTGACTGGGAAAAGGGATGATACAAAACTTCATGCTGCAGCAAGAGCTGGTAACTTAGATGAAGTATTGGATATATTGAGTGGAATTGGAGAAGATGAATTGAAGGAATTGCTGATAAAACAGAATCAGGCAGGTGAAACAGCACTATATTCAGCTGCAGAATATGGGCAGATTGAAGTTGTTAAAGAGTTGATCAAGTATTATGATCCTGTTGCTGCTAGCATCAAGGCTAAGAATGGATATGATGCATTTCATGTCGCGGCGAAGCAAGGGGATTTGGGTATGTTTTTTACATCATTTTGCAAGATCAGTAGAAGTGTAGAACTTGCAGGTTTTGTTTAGTAGTTGGAAAACATCAGTTTTGACATTTTCTGCGATTAAATTGTGGCAGTGACTCTCAAATTGCTAATGGAGACACACCCTGATCTGTCCATGACCTATGATACATCCAACACTACTGCTTTGCAGACTGCTGCAACACAAGGGCATACCGAGGTGGTGAATTTTCTGTTGGAGTCGGGAAGTGGCCTGGCAACCATTGGTCGGAGTAATGGTAAGACGGCTTTGCACGCTGCTGCGAGGAATGGACATGTGGCTGTAGTGAAGGCTCTCCTGGAGAAGGAGCCTGCGATTACGACAAGGACTGATAAGAAGGGACAGACAGCACTTCACATGGCGGTGAAGGGTCAGAATCTTGAGATTGTGGAAGAGCTGATTAAGGCTGGTCCTTCTTTGATCAATATGACTGACAGTAAGGGCAATACAGCATTGCATATAGCTACAAGAAAAGGCAGGTGTCAGGTGGGTTTACTTCAATTTTTCCCCCTACTTAGTTATATGCATGTCGATTGCTGGAATGATTCACGGTGGACGTTGCGGTTGGAGTTGTTTATAGAATATGATGATCGTTTTGGTAAATGAAACGTGCAGTTAGGATAGTCACCAAGGTGGTAATGTGCATGACTTTTGAACTTTGATAAAGAATTCAAGAACTAGATGATGATAGCTCATAGCCTCATAGCCCCTTGGCCTTGGAGCGTTTACGACTTTACTATATATCACGAGTCACATGATAATGTAGATTACTAGCATTTTTTGTGTGTGCTGAATTGCGTTGTCGGGTAAGGAAAATAGAACAGCAATCATTTATGGGGGGTCTTGGAATTGATCTCGGGAAATTTAGTTTGTTTTGATCCTACTTCATTGCTTCCCTTGTATTGTATGATGTATAGCCTGTTGATATAGATCCAGTGCTCTCTTATGATAGCATCTGATGATACTTCTTTAGAAACAGGTTTTTATATATATAATCCAATGAGTAGATTGTAAAGATGCTGAATGGAACTGCTTTGGTTTCGTATACTGTGAAGTGAAACTGAATTGTTCTTTCCATGTCACAGATTGTAACTAGATTATTGGCTGAAAGTGAAACAGACACCACAGTTGTCAACAGGGCAGGTGAAACTGCCCTTGACACGGCCGAGAAAATGTCGCATCCACAGATTTCAGAAACCCTCCGGGTGCATGGGGTTCAGAGTGCCAAAGTTATCAAGCCTCAAGCAACCAGTAAAAATGCCCGTGAACTCAAGCAAACCGTGAGCGACATAAAACACGAAGTCCATCACCAGTTAGAGCACACTCGCCAAACAAGACGTCGTGTCCAAGGAATTGCAAAACGGATCAACAAGATGCACACCGAGGGCCTCAATAATGCCATCAACTCCACCACTGTGGTTGCTGTGCTCATAGCGACTGTTGCTTTTGCAGCCATATTTACTGTTCCAGGCCAATATGTTGATGACCCGACTAATATACCTCCGGGAAGCTCTCTTGGAGAAGCAAACATTGCACCAAATGCAGCATTCTTAATCTTCTTTGTTTTTGACTCGATTGCCCTTTTCATCTCCCTTGCTGTTGTCGTGGTTCAAACCTCTGTAGTAGTTATAGAGAGCAAGGCGAAGAAGCAAATGATGGCAATCATTAACAAACTGATGTGGTTGGCATGTGTTCTCATCTCTGTGTCATTCTTGGCGCTGTCTTTTATTGTAGTAGGAACTAAACAGAGGTGGCTTGCCATTGGGGTGACGATCATAGGAACAACAATCATGGTGACTACTTTGGGTACCATGTGTTATTGGGTAATTCAACATCGAATAGAGGCAAAGAGCCTTCGGAAATCCTCCCTAGAAAGCCGTTCAAGGTCTTGGTCTGTCTCAGCAATGTCTGATACAGAGATCTTAAATGCAGAAAAGTTCAAAAAAATGTATGCAATTTGAAGTCTCTAAAGCTGTATGTTGTATTCTCTCAAGGCACAGCAGCTCCAAAGCCTCAAGTTACTGATGCAGCATCACTATCCTATGTAAATTCTTCCGAGCTCGTCGATCATTTGTAAATTTATATCACATTTTTCTGCATCAGTTTTTCAGCTGTTTATATCTATTATTAATCAAAATCACCACAATGGTAAGTACTAAGTACTAAGTGGTGACGGATTATAGGGAGGGAAAAAATAAGAGCTTTTTTTGTCTAAGTGTTCCTAACTTTTGTACAAATTCCTGAGGCCTTATGTAATTTTGCTAATCTCCACTTTGAGTGTGGATATATATAATCAATACTGTACTTTTATCATTTTTTGTACCCTTCTTTCTCTTATAATTTAGTGTTATTATAGGAGAAGGACAAGAAACAATGACGAGAACAAGGTAGCAATACTAGACAAGAACAATACAACAACCAAGACGTGTTCATAAACAATTCCTTTACACATTTTAACTCATTTCAAATTAGATGTATGGATTCTATGTATATACTTTACATATTAACAAAGTCTTTACACATACTCATGTCAAACACGAGTAATGCTAGGGACAAGTCTAAGAAACATAGACTAATATAAGAAGTGGCCATATCTAGCGAACTACAGTATTAAAATACCCTGTATTATATTAGCTTGGCTTATATCACCAATTTTTCTGATGATTATTAATAAATATGCTTTACATATACGAAATATAAGTTACCATGAAATTTGTAAAATCCACCATTTGAAAGTATTCGTATTAACTTTTAATGTTTCGTGATAAAATAACCCATCCCATAGCTAGTCTTTCACATAATAAAAATTCATAAACCTTATTTTTTCATCTTAATCAAATCCTTAAGCAGGTGCTCCATAATAACTTTCATTAGAGCTAAATTGAAGAACAAAAGAAACTTTTCTCTCAATCTTTCTCTCTCCTACAAGCCATGGATGAAGAATTGCTGGAATTGCAGAAACAGTTCGAATTCGCTCAACAAGCTAAATCAAGTATCCGATTATCTGATAGAAATGTCGTCGAATTGGTTCAGAAACTTCACGACCTTCAAATCATCGATTTTGATCTCCTCCACACTGTTTCCGGCAAAGAATACATTACTCCTGTAATCTCTCGCTTTTAATCTCTCTTAGCAATTTTACATTTGATCGATTAATTGAATTTTTATAGTTTTTTAGATTATCTCAATTTGAACTCAATTTTTTTTTGTGATCGATTTCAGAGGTTTAGGGTTTTGCAATTAAATTTGAATTCGATTGTTAATTTAATTTATTGATTCAATTTGATGAGTTTTTGTTGTGGCAATTGAATTTCAATAATGCAGGACTATAAATACTGCATAGGTGCTATTGAATCTTTAAGTTATGTTTGTTGAATGTTTTTGCATGCTTATTATAAGTTTTCTAATTTAATTCAACATCAACACTATGCGGATTTGTCTTGATTGTGCCGCACAATTCTACCTTAGGTGGCGTAAATGAGAGGATTTTTTCTAATTGATCCTTAATTAGTTAAGTATTCAATGATCATCTCCTACTTTACAATGAATATAAAGTATCATAGTTGAATAATTGAATAAGTCAAATACGTAGTAGATTATAATCAGTACAATTAAAAATCTTAAGAATAGTGTACTTTGGATGTAAACTTGAAAATTTGACAGCATTGGGCATGTTTCTTAGTATGATTTATGTTTTGACAGTGGACTTGATTTCACAAAGTTATTGTATAACTCTTATGCAACAGGAACAATTACGCTTGGAAATATGTTCTGAAGTAAAGAGGCTAGGGCGTGTTTCTTTGATTGATCTTACCGATAGTATTGGTGTTGATTTATATCATGTAGAGAGACAGGCTCAAGTTGTAGTGTCTGATGATCCTGAGCTTATGTTAATTCAAGGAGAAATTATTTCAAAATCTTATTGGGATACTATGGCTGAAGAAATTAATGAAAGACTTCAGGAATGCAGTCAGATTGCCGTGGCTGAGCTTGCTGCACAATTACAAGTGGGTTCTGAGCTGATATCATCAATGTTGGAGTCACGGCTTGGGACTTTGGTATGATGCTTTCTTGAAAGATGATGATAAACAAACAATCCCCCCTCTATTAAATTTTGCTGAGCTAAAATATTAATGTGGGTTTTTGTTGCTTTACATCCATGTGTGGTGTGTAGATTAAAGGTAGACTTGAAGGTGGGCAACTGTATACCCCTGCTTATGTTGCACGTGTAAATGCAATGGTTCGCGGTGCTGCAAGGGGTATAACAGTTCCAATGAATTTGTCAGCCTTGTGGAGCTCTTTGCAGCAGTTACTACAGGGAATGGATGGTGCTACTGGTGTGGCTGTGGACAACTCATTTTTCCAGACATTGTTCAATGGGTTGCTGAAGGAAGTGGAAATCCTTGGTTCTCTTCGTGCTGGAGTTCACTGGACACCCGCTGTAGGTTTTTTTTTTTTGCTTGTGTTTTTACCCCTCTTTTAGATAGATGAATAAAAGTTACACGTGTATTGACTTATGATTTTACCAGGTCTTTGCTTCAGCTCAGAAGGAATTTGTGGATTCTTTCCTTTCACAGGTTTGGAGCTTACCTGAAATGTTGTGCTACAAGCCTATATCCACCTCCTCTCTGTATATAGAACATAGATGATGTTTATAACCTAATTTGAGTAACATCAGTTTTTATTTTACATAACATTATATATTTTATATTGTGACATTAAGTGTGCAAGCTATACCTGAAATTATTTCTCTGTAGGAATTTTCCATACAAATGTTAATAACTTGCTTATCAGATGAACCTAGTGTTACATTGGACACAATACCTTTTGATGCAGGAACATAACTCACTACCTAGTTTTTTAAACAAATCATCAAGTGTCCTGGTCTACTGGTTTACCATGTGTCCATGTGCCGTATATAATTTTGCTACATAGATTCATTGCGGTGTCCATATCATAATAGGAATAGGCTAGATAGATTTTATTTAAAGGACTTTCTCTCAAAGACATAATGAAGGAATGTTAGTTTATTCCATGTGGTGAATTCTCATGTTTGCTTGCCTTTATATTCTATGGCAGAATTCCTTCATAAGCTATGACTCTCTTCAAAAATTAGGAATACCCCAGCCCATGCAATACTTACAGGTAAACTGCTGCCCTTTTTCTGATCTGTTATTATCTTAATTGTATTTTCCCCTTTTCTAACTGAAATTTAATGCCCTCAATATAGTCCAGGTATCCTGAAGGCATTCCTTTGGTAACCATGTTTATTCACCCCTCAATGATTGAGATGCTAGATGCAGCTATAGAGGATGCGGTTGAACGTAATAGCTGGTGAGTGTTTTTAGATCAGGTGGCTCTGTTTTCATTAGAATGTCAGCTATGTTTGTGTCAGTTAGAAACTCTATTACATGACAACTAGATTGCTTGCTTGTTTAAGGCCTCAGCTCTCAACTCTCTTTGTTATTTGTCGTGGCTCCCTTCTAATTTACTAAAAGTATGTGACATGTTAATTTAACCTTTGTGGTAGAGAAAATGTATGGCTACTGTGTTTGTTCACTTGTATGCTATTGGACTTTTCTTTTTCTGTAGATCTGATCAGTGATGGATTTCAGGATTGATTCTCTTACAGTGTTGCCCTCTTTATGTGACTCACAAGATGCATATAAGATTTTGTCCTTGTGCCCATCTGTACAGTCTGCACTCAAGGTGACATCTCTGAGTCCATAAAAAATTCATTAATTTTAAGGTATGTTTGCCTGTCCTAATATAAGTCATTCCTGGTCTCAGTCCAACAGAGCACTCATTGTGGGAGAGTCCTATGTCCTTAGCGATGGCTTTATAAAGGTATGGGATATGGATCCTCGAAAGTCGATCAGCTTTTCAACTCTTAGCCTAACAAGACCTTAATATATGATGAGCATGTTCAAGGACTTGGTTGAGTGTGTGGATCACAGATATTCTCCTATGTTTTTATCATTTGCTACCACTCTTACAAGATTGTACTTATAATTTACTAATGAAAGTGAATGCTTGCAAATCGTATGTTTTATTGCAAAGGATGTCTTCACTCGACTAGATAAAGAGATGCAAACCACTATTCCTATATCTTCTGCTTCCAAAATAGATGATGAGAAACATCCAATCAAGGAAAGCAAAGGTGGGAATGACTCAGGTAGATTATCTGAGTTAAATGATGTCAGTACTGAGTGCGGAAATAGACCAGCCATGGAGAGAGGTTCAAAGAAGAAGAAAGGAAAATCTTCAGGGAATCCTAGGAGTTCTGCCTCTGAAAGTGATCTAAATAAGCAAGAACCTATTCCTTCGAAATCTAAGAGAAACCAGAGAAAAGGCAAAGATTCTTCTGTTTCACATGTTTCAGAGTCAAAAAGATCAAAAGAGGATAGTGTTGGTGCTCCTTCAGAGGAGTGGATAATCAATAAAGTATTGGCTTTGGTTCCTGAGTTTGAAGAGCAAGGTTGGTCAAATAATTATTTGTTCTCTTTACTGTTATAATCTATTATCTTGATTAGTTACATATTCTTCTTGTGCTACAGATGTGGATGATCGTGAGACAATTCTTAAACCCCTGGCAAATCAGTTGAGGCCTATGCTGGTCACTTCATGGAATGAAAGGAGAAGGGTAATGTTAGCTGAAAATTCAGATAGAATGAAACGCGTGCTTGATAACTTGCAAAAGAAGCTTGATGAGGTTTGTCTTCTTGTGTGGCTGTGTCTTGCTATCTTGCTGTAAGAAGCATATCAAGTATTTTATCTATAACTAGGCTAGTGAATTGCGGCCAATCTGCTAAATCTAGGAGCTACTATGGCTTTTAGTATGTCTTGTATTTCCTCTTTCTACCTATCTTATGTCTTTGTTTCTTGTCCAGTCTTATATGAACATGCAGCTTTATGAAAAAGCATTGGATTTGTTTGAAGATGACCAAGCAACATTTGTGAGAAACCTCTTTTCTTTTCCACATCACTTGGTAAAATTTCACTTTTTCATTAGTGTTGGTGATTTATCTTTTCCCCTGTTACTTTGTTGCAGGTTGTATTACACAGACATTTGCTTAGAACTACTGGAGCCTCAATTGCTGACATGCTTTTATTTAACTTGGTACTGCTGTCGCAAGGCTGTCATAGTTAATGTTGTGATGCTTTATTTATTTATTTATTTATTTATTTTTCATATGAAGTAATGTCCTCTTGGAACTTAGGATGTCTACAACAAATTGAAGAATGGAATTCCAGTAGAAGAATCGCAAAATTCAGAGTCTGTGTCTCTCAGTTCTGGTGAAAGGACTTCCATTGTATGTAATTAAGTGGCTTATGGATTCTGTCTATGTAGGACTAACTTTTGGCACATATAGATTTAGACTAAAGGAATTTGGGATTCAATATGTGATCAAGTTCTTGTTTTATTTTAGGCAAAGAGTTTGCATGGTTCACTTTCAGTCAAGGCTGTCGCTTTGGTGGAATCTGTGGAAGGAAAGGTTGATATACCCATCATTTACAAACTAATTTCTTGCTTCTATTTCTTCTGTCTGAAACTTTTCCTGTGATGATATTTTCTTCCTCACTGCACTTGACTACTCTATTTGCTTTATGCATTGTGCTCTTCTCTTTTTGATGAACAATATGGGTGTCCAAAATCTTGGGTTAAATCCATTGATTCTGTTGAAGTTGCAGTCTGTCACTCTGTCTAGTTTTCATTTGCTGATTTTTGCTTACCGCATGCAATCCTGAAGACCTGTCATGGACTTCTATATTGTTGCATCCTAGGCGTTTAGAAACCAGTAGTTGGAAGAATATCTAGTAAAAAGCTAAATAGTAACCTGAACAGCATGAAGCAAATAGGATCCCAATTGAGTCAACAATGACCACATTGCAAGGCTAATACTCCATGGTTACCACTAGTAGCTGAGTAGTGTTTTGTGTGTGTGTGTGTGCATGTGCGCGCGCGTGTGTGTGAACTTTCAGCTTTGACAGTTCTTCATAAAACAGCTACAACTTTCTCATTTCTTATCCAAAATGGGCATATGACCAATTGTTGGAAAGCTACTGAGATAAATTTTCACCTCCAACTTGATCCACCTTAAAATCATTTGTAGATTGAGAGACATGTGCATTTGAAGTCAGTTCATCGCTATTCTTCATCGATTTCAAGGCACAAATAACACTAAGAATCAAATAGCTTTAGCATCATTTATAGCAGAAGATAGGAAGAGGAAGATGATTATTATTAATAAGATGGGAATTACATCAAAATGTGAATGATAATTTTACATTAGAGAGTGGAATCTCTCCTAATTTAGCTTACTAAGCTAAGTCAAATTACTCAATCAATGTTCCCTCCTAATCTCTCTAATTTATGGTATTGCTTCTCTAACTAACTCACTTACATTCCTCCTCAAGACACTATATTGCACTACCTAATATGCCCTCCTTCCCCCCTCGTCATATCAAATCATAACATTGAGCTCCTTGCCTCCTAGAAGATTGAGTATCTCAATAGGAGGAATGCTTTTTGATTCCCAGCCACGACACTTTTGAGTCAAATGCGTCCTTACTTTTTAAGTGTAATATTGAAGTGTTTTTTTTTGGTATCTATGAGGAGGATAGCAACGGCAATATTAGGAGTATAATCAGTTGTAAATTAAAATTTGTATATGGAGGTGCTGGGATTACACTTAGGACTTGTGGAGTAAGATCATTGGGACTCAGGACCCAAGGTGTTTTTCTTTATTTTAATGATCTGTGAAGTATAACCTCTTGATGGGGCTTCAGGGCCCAAAATTGCCATATTGGTCTGGTGTCATTTGGGGTCAAGATGGCAAATATTGAAGCAACTTTGCAATACTTGGAAGCTTAGGATATAGGTGACTTCCCTCCAATTCTTTTCTTCACCTTCCAATGGTGTCTTGATGGAGTCGTTTTTCTTTATTTTATGGCGTTCACTAGGTTCAAGAAGTGTAGGGGTCTCGATAGATTATTGGTCCTAAGGGCATTGGGTGATCGTAGGAGATTTCCTTCCCATTTCCATGCCCCAATAGGTATTGCAGATGTGTATCTTGTTACAGCCTTCAAAAATAAGCTTTTCTTGGTGTTATATGGTCCCCAAGGACCTGAAAATTTACTGAAAGCCGTGGTATATATGTCCAAGTCTCAAATTACTACCACTTTCTTTCATCACTTCTGATATGGGCATATGGCCTTCTGATATGGGCATATGGCTCTCAAGCCTGGCCCCAATTCCAGCCTTATTCAAGATGCCATGTTGTTAAGTTTACTTTTGCTTTGGTTGACCTGTGTGCTATTTAATAGCTATTGATGTCTGCTTACTTGTGGAACATAATTTTATTGGGCAGAAAAATAGTTCAGATGTATTTTTGTTCAGTTCTTTTCTTAAAGAGTAATATCTAAAAGTTTTGCATGTGACAGCAAATGGATATTTTCATGACTGCATTGGCAACATTGGTGGAAGAAAGGTAATTATGAGCTCTACTACCCTTAGCCCCCTAGCTGATGCTTCCGGGCATTGAAATTTTTTAGTGTTGTGTCAAATGCTGGGATAAATTTTGCAAAGTAATATATTGGTCCTTTGATATTGGTTGTGATAACTAACATTTTAGATGGATCTTGTTTCTTTAGTGGATTATTTTTGAAGAAACTTGATAAGAAATTGGAAAAGGCACTATTGCATTCGTATCGCAAGGTATGTCTCTCCTGTCCTCTCCTGTTTTTGTTATTTCTTCTGTTCTGACCTAGGTTGCCTATCCCTCCTCGCGCTACTTCTGTTATTGCATTCATATAGCAACATATCTGATGTAGGAATAATGTTATGGCGTACTTGTTATTGTTTGGGTCAAGTTTTGCATTCATGAATGAAGGAAGATGATTAGATTGAGATTTAACTTTTTGTCGAATTCTGCCGATCTAGTATATATAGTTTGACATGCGATATAAGTGCTTTTTAGTGCTCAGCAGTGGGAACGTGTTTTTGCTCACTGTGGATTATGCTTCATAGGAAGTAATTTACACAGGATAAACAATTGCACTACTGGATATGCTTTTCACGTTAGTAAAAGGCAATGCAGCACAAATAGGAACTCATCTTATATTATCATGTTATATATTTTGGAATACTATCCTTCAGATTTCTGTGGTTAGAATCTGGGATTTATGTGTTCATCTTGGCTCTATGGAGATGTTTAGGAAATATCCTTAGTTGTACCTAGCACATACTGATAATGTAAGTTATGGTCTGTATTGGCTGGGTAAGATTAGCTCTATATACACCTTTTACTGTGGGTAGTGACATGTCACGGATCCAATTAGTCCAATTCTCAACTTGGGTCTATGCAAGAAGAAGGAAAGTCAACCAAGCACAACCACGGGCAGCAACACAGAACAATCCTAAGCCTTAAGACAACTCCAATTAAGAAGAAGACAAAACTAATTAAGAAGAGAAGAAGGAAAGAAAGCAACCTAGTCCTACGTTGTTCATTTATGTTTTTTTCTAAATTAGTTAAGTTTCACATGTTAAGATTTAAGGTCATCCTTGACCATCTTAGTATAAGTAGTATGAGTTGTGTTAGTAGAAATTCATCCAGAAATTGAGTGAAAACACATTGGTGAGATTGTTAGCCTCAGGCGACTTTTGTGAGAGTAATAGCCTAAAGCTATTAGTTGTAACCATCCTTCTATCATTAATCAAATAGCAAGCTTTCCTTTCCTTAATTATTTTAATTAACTGTTGCATTACCGACTGTCGGAAGTCAGTCCGTAACAAAGTGGTATCAGAGCGGTACGGTCATGGTGAGCAACACCACGCAGCGGCTTAACGTAGTGGACAGAAGAATCAAAGGTGTTGAGAGCACGCTTGCCAACATTAATGGCAAGTTGAACTCACATGAGGCAGCCATGTCACCCAAGCGGTCACTCAAGCCAATGAGGCGAAGCAACAGTGGCACGAGGAGGCCTTGGTCGCCACCGTGACACGGCTGGAGGGTCGAATTGACCGCCATCGTGACGACCAGAACACACCGGTGGCAATTGACCGAGGCAAGGTGCGCAACTGAGGGAGGAGTTGAGGGTGCTTAGGGAGGACCCCCTTCAACGGCGCAACCCCCCGTTGCACTAGCGCGACGGGGACGATGAGGCGACCAACCAGGTGAACGGTGGAAATCGAATCAGATATCCGGTGAGAGAAGACGATTACCGTGGGTTCGACCAAAATGGTTTTAACCATGGGTATCACGATGGTGAAGGCTGGGGAGGTCGCAAGCGACATCGAAAGCTGGATTTACCAGTGTTCGACGACAAAGGCCCGGATACATGGCTGGTACGACCCAAAATGTATTTCGAATTCTACTAGTTGCGTGAAGCGGTGGTGGTTTCGATGGATGGAGCGACATTAAAATGGTACCAATGGGAAGATAAGCGCCGACCGTTCGTGGGCTGGCCGGATCTAAGGTGGAGGCTGTTGAGTAATTTCCGGCCATCTAATGCCGGCTCACTTCACGAACAATGGTTCCGACCACCACTGCGGAGGATTAATGGCGGCGATTCACTGAGATGGCGTTTCCCTTAGAGGATATTCCGGAGAGTTTAATGTTAGGGGCAATTCATAAATGGGTTGCGGGAGGATATTAAGGCAGAGATGAGGTTGCTAAACCCCTACAACCTTGACGAGGCGATGGGGATGGCGGTGAGGGTGGAGGAGAGAAATAGAGTCAGCCAAATGCGAAAAGGAGGTAGAGGTTGGAGGAGTTTTTCTAGCTTTGGTGGTCCAAGTTCTAATAGCCCAGTAAAGAAGAGTGGAGTAGGAGGGGGGCTAATTAAAACATATGGGTTGCCAAGTAATTTGGGCCCAAAGACTTGGCCTAAGTCCCCAGAGTCATCCCAAGGTTTAGTGAACTTGGGGCAGCCTGGTTCTGCTTCCAGTAGCAAAGCCATAGGGATCACCAGCCAGTTGACGGAATTGGAGCTGCAAGACCGGAGGGCGAAACTGTTTCCGGTGTGACGAGAGGTGGGGGGTGGGCCACCGCTGCAAAAGGAAAGAGCTCACCCTCATGGTTGCCGGGGAAGAAGAAAGAGATGGAGGAAAGGTGGATGAAGAAGATGAAGCGTGGGAGCCTAGTGAGCCTGCCATTGAGGTGGGTCTTTCAAGCCCAAAAACTATGAAGCTAGGTGGTGAAGTTAAAGGGCGGCGAGTAGTAGTGATGATCGACCCGGGGCAACCCATAACTTCATTTCGACACAACTAGTGTCGGAGCTACCACTAGAGGTGTATGGGAGTGGTGAATTCGGAGTGGCTCTCGGGAATGGAGACACGGTAAAAAGGCGTGGAGTGTGAAGAAAGTGGTTGTCAAGCTAGATGGATAAGTCACTATCATTGAGGAGTTCTTGCCATTATCCTTGGGAAATGCCGAGGTGATACTCGGGGTTCAATGGTTGGAGAAGTTGGGGCCCGTGGTCACAAATTGGAAGACTCATGTCATGAAGTTTGTCGTCGCCAGAGTTCCGGTAACCTTGGTTGGCAACCCCACACTTGAGAAATCCCAAGTCTCGTTGAAGTCAATGGTGAGGAGTTTATGTAAAGAAAAGGGTGGGCTCCTAGTTGAAATCAACAAATTGAAGCAAAGGTGGAGGCCCAAACCACAAGGCCCATTCCAAAATTTCTTGAAGGCCTTCTTGAGAAATACCAGAAGGTGTCTAATATGCCAATGGGACTTCCTTCCCAACGAGAGCATGAACATACAATTACACTCAAGGAAGGTAACAATCCCGTAAGCGTCCGACCATACTGCTACCCTCAAATCCAAAAAGACGAGATCGAGAAGCTCATTCGAGAAATGATCGAGGCCAGAATTATTAGGCCATCCACAAGTCCTTGATTATCGGGCCCTAAACAAAGAGACAGTGCCGGATAAGTACCCTATTCCGGTTAGCGATGAGCTTCTTGATGAGCTCCACGGGGATAGGATCTTCTTGAAATTCGATTTAAAATCTGGATTTAAAATCTGGATACCATCAAATCCGGGTGAAATTCGAAGATGTGCCTAAGACCGCCTTTCGTACTCATGAGGGTCATTACAAGTTTCTCGTAATGCCCTTTGGCCTCACTAATGCACCGACCACGTTCCAATCTTTGATAAATGATATTTTTCGCCCTTTCTTATGCAAATTCGTCTTTGTATATTTAGACGATATTTTGGTGTATAGCAAGGATGAATGTGAACATGCAAAACACTTAGACGAAGTGTTTGAGAAATTGGCAGTCAACAAACTCTACGCCAACCTCAAGAAATGTGAGTTTCGCCAATAACAAGTGGCATACTTGGGCCATGTTATTTCTTGTCATGGGGTGTCCATGGATCAAGAAAAGGTACAAGCAATCATGAATTGGGCCTACCCAAAGAATTTGAGAGAGCTTAGAGGCTTTCTTGGGCTCACGGGCTATTATCGAAAATTTGTGGCCCGATATGCCTTGATTGCCGGCCCACTTATGGCCCAGCTAAAAAAGGAGGCAACCCAAGCCTTCTAATGGCTCAAGGAAGCCATGGTCACCGCTCTCGTGTTGGCTATGCCGGATTTTGCTAAGGCTTTCGTGGTGGAAGCCAATGCGTCGGGCTATGAGTTAGAGGCGGTCCTCATGCAAGCTGGTCGGCCCATAGCTTATTATAGCAAGATGTTGGGAATTCGGGCCCAAGACAAGTCCATTTACGAGAAAGAACTAATAGCGATTTGCTTAGCCAAAGTTCGTTGGAAGCATTATCTAATGGGCCGACACTATGTGGTTCGGACCGACCAACAAAGCCTTCGGTACATCACCCAACAATGGGAGGTCGGTGGTGACTACCAAAAGTGGCTACGAAAGCTGGTCGGGTTTGATTTTGAGGTGCAATACAAACCCGGAGCCTCCAATCGGGTTGCAGACGCACTGTCTCAAATTAGGGGAGAAATGGGCCAAGTTGTTCCTCAGGCCTAGCTCACTACTATGGTCACTTCAATTTGGGTTGATTGGGCGGATTTGGAGAAAGAAATAGAGGCCGATGATTGGTTGGGCCAAATTAAAAAGGGCCTAGGTCAGGGAAATGGTCCAATTGGGTTTTCATTAGAGGGAAGCAGACTTCTTTACAAAGGGCGAATTGTTTTTCCAAATGAATCCAAATTCATTCTGGATCTATTGAATGAGTATCACGTAACTCCCATCGGCGGTCACGACGACGAGGTTAAGACCTACCTTCGACTCGCCGCGGACTGGTATTGGCAAGGAATGAGGAAGAGAGTCGGAGATTATGTGCGACAGTGCGATGTGTGTCAATGGAGTAAGGCGGCCCAACAAAGCCCACTCGGGCTCCTGCAATCCCTGCCAATTCCGGTGGCCATCTGGGAAGATTTGTCAATGGATTTTGTAGAGGGGTTACCCCTATCCAAAGGGGTTGACTCGGTGTTAGTGGTGGTGGACCGACTGTCCAAATACATCCATTTTATTGGGTTAAAGCACCCTTTTAATGCACTGAAGGTGGCGGATCTTTTTATCAGGGAGGTGGTGCGACTTCATGGGTTTCCCTCATCAATTGTTTCCGACCGCGATCGGGTGTTTATGAGCATATTTTGGCGAGAGTTGTTCCAGCACATCGTACCATCCTACCATCCCCAGACGGATGGCCAGTCGAAAATAGTGAACAAAAGGTTGGAAGTATATCTCCGGTGCTTTGTGGCGGGTCAACCGAAACATTGGGCGAAGTGGTTGGCGTGGGCAGAGTACTCCTACAATACGTCACCGCATGTGTCCACAAAGATGACCCCGTTCAAGGTGATCTATTGCAGAGATCCACCTAAATTGCGGTCGGCAGTCTAGTAGAGTGGTTGCGGGAGAGGGATTATGTGTTGGAGGAGTTGCGACTTAATTTAATGAGGGCTCAAATTGATGAAAAAGTTCGCAGATAAGAAAAGAACTGATGGTGAATTTGCGGTGGGGGATGCGGTCTATTTGAAGCTCCGACCTTATCGCCAGCAATCCTTGGCGAAGCGGCCGTTTGAGAAGTTAGCAGCAAGGTATTATGGTCCATACACGATCTTGCAAAGGGTGAGCAAGGTGGCCTATAAGTTAGAGTTACCCTCTTCCTGTAAAATCCACCCCGTGTTTCATATTTCATAGCTGAAACGTGCGGTGGGGGAGGTTAAGGTCAATCCGATTGTGCCAGAGCAGTTAAGCGAGGAGATGGAGCTAATTGTTGAACTGGAAGAGGTCTTGAAGGTCAGGGCAGCAACAGCTCAGGGGAAGGGATGGGAGGCCCTCGTCAAATGGAAAGGGCTGCCCGACTTTGAAGCCACGTGGGAGGACGGCGCGTCACTGAACCAACGTTTCCTGGACTTCCACCTTGAGGACAAGGTGAGTCTTTTGGGGCGGGGTATTGTCACGGATCCAATTAGTCCAATTCTCAACTCGGGTCAACCACCTATGAAGGTCTATGCAAGAAGGACAGTCAACCAAGCACAACCAAGGGCAGCAGCAGAGAACAATCCTAAGCCTTAAGACAACTCCAATCAAGAAGAAGACAAAACTAATTAAGAAGAGAAGAAGGAAAGAGAGCAACCTAGTCCTATGTTGTTCATTTATGTTTTTTCTAAATTAGTTAAGTTTCACATGTTAAGTTTTAAGGTCATCCTTGACCATCTTAGTATAAGTAGTATGAGTTGTGTTAGTAGAAATTCATCCAGAAATTGAGTGAAAACACATTGGTGAGATTGGTAGCCTCAAGCGACTTTGTGAGAGTAATAGCCTAAAGCTATTAGTTGTAACCATCCTTCTATCATTAATCAAATAGCAAGCTTTCCTTTCCTTAATTATTTTAATTAATTGTTGCATTACCGGCTGCCGGAAGTCAGTCCATAACAGGACAATATGGGTGTGCTGAGTCAAATCAAGTCTCCATGACACTGGGGGTACCCTGTGGCATTGCAATAATTAAAACCTAATGTATCTTAAAAAAAAAGTTATTATTGAACCAAGGTAATTAATTACTTTGAGTTAACCCTATGGCCTATGGTTAAGTAGAGAACATGTTTGACAATGGTTCAATTACTGATATCTCCCCTGGATTTTGTTTTTTTGTAATGTTATCCAGGATCTCACATCTCAGGTATCCATGGAAAATGACCCAGTTTTACTTCTACCAAAAGTCGTCTCTTTGCTTTATTTGAAGGTCAGTTGACACTGTGCAGTTGACATCTTGTATTCTTTGTCACATGGAAATTCTGTTTGTTTTTTTTTCCTGATGAATTTGTTTTCATTCTGTCATAGATTCATAATAAAGCTCTTCAGGCTCCAGGAAGAGCCATGTCTATTGCTGTTTCTCGGTTGAAGGTAATGCGTATGCGGTTGCATTGTTGCTTCTATTGTGAGATCTTAAATGCTAGGTTTTTATTCTGGATTTTCATTATGGACTTGTGCCATACTTGGCATGAGATTCGAACATCATAGTAGTTAAATTTTCCTTGTCCAAACTGTGAATCTTAAATGCATCTTGTTCTGTATAATTGCATTATTTGGAAATGTCTTGGTGTAAAATATCTGAGTCATCTTGCTGCTTGTACTTGAACTGTTCACTGAATTTTATGTACAATATGGTGTTATGGTGTCTAAGGGGGTGAAATTATGACAATTTTGGTTCTGTTATGGTCATTTGTCCATTATTCTGCATGTTTCTATGTCAAGAAGCAGTGTATACTCTCTGAATTCTTCTTCGTAAAGATTTTTTCTTTCTTAAATGGCCTTTCAAAGACTTTTTTGTTTGTAAATTGTACCTGTGAAGAAACCACAAAAACTTGGTCTTGTACTCTTTCTTTACCTTTGGGTTGAGACTTTTTATCCAGAACACATTATGGTGACTGCTAGTGCATCTGATCAGTGTGTTTTGTCTTCTCTCAGGATAAGTTGGATGATTCGGCTTTCAAAACCTTAATGGACTATCATTCTGCAACGGTGGCACTTTTATCAATATTGTCAGCATCTACTAATGATGTGAGTGATTATAAATATGTCCAAGTTTGATTGCTGATTCTGCTATTAAATTTTGCATGCCTTGCTTGTCATTTAGATTCTCAGGGATGATCATCTTGTAATTTTTTTCTGCTATTGAGGAATTCTGTCTCTTACTAATGGCCCCACCAGGATTTTTATCAACTACAACATTCAAATTTATTTTAGTGGCCTACGTTTTTTTCTTTTTTCCTGAGAACTTTCTGCCCCGTGAGAATTAGAACTTAGGCATTGTGTTCTGAGACATGAACTTAGTGTTGATCCTATCATGAGATAGTGTTCCCCTCGTACCAATGTTAATGTGTTGATACAAGTTCGCCAATTTGTTTTAATATATGCCTGAGTGTTTTTTTTTTTTTTTTTTTTTCCATTGATGCGATGTCTCTTACATTTAGCCGACTCACTTTATACATCAGGAAGACGACTGTGCATCAGACAGGATTGCAACCAAGAAGGAGCTTCTGGAGAGCCTGATGCCAACACTGAAAGGTTTAGTTTTGGGAAGTACAATTACCCAACCTCAGGTTGCTAGCTGATCACTCTGACGTACATGGTCATTCTAAGAATCAGATTGGAAAGAAAGGGATTTATAAAATTACAAAGACTTGCGCAGTAGCAAAAGCCACAGAAAAACCACTACCTAATTACTCCACAACGCATTGCAAATACTCTTTAGCATTGTATTAATCATGCAGCTTTTAGGGTATTTAGCAAATATTGTACATTAGCATCTACTCCGTAGTTATAAAATATTGACTTGGAAGCTTAGATTAATATCCTTACTAATAAAGTGAAAGCATCAACGTTCCCTTTGCATCTTTACCCTCTAGTTAAGTTTATGTTTCAGCAGCACTAATACATTATTAGGGGGTGTTCAAAACCGATTTGGTTTGAAAGATGGACAGTATTCGGATCAAATATAATCAATTAGGTCTCCAAATTGAAAATTTTAAATTTCGATCTTTGTTCTGATTCGGTCCAATACTCTTTTAAAATTGGCTTTACAGCAGACTAATATACAAAACATGATAAGAGTTGCAAATTAGTCTGCTTTATCACAACTTCTTGTACTATTTTTTTAAAAAAAAAAAAACAAACCCATCTTCAACCATCATGCCACCAGCATCACAGCCACCCAAAACCCATCACAACCACCACCATCTCTCTGTCTTCCTATTGATCTACTTGTTTCGCGTTGTCCTCTTCTTCTTCCTTTCTCAACTCTTGTCTTCCTATTGATCTACTTGTTTTGCGTTGTCCTCTTCTTTTTCCTTCCTCAACAATAATAGCCTCAATCCCTAAAAACACCCTAGTAGCAAAGAGTGTAAAGTAGGGCCATTATTTTAGGGAAAGCATCTCCTCTGCGAAGACATTTTCAACCGCAACGGGCGTTGCTTTGGCTCGTGGAGGAAGGTTTCCTGTTATTCGTTGACCTTAGTCACGTTGCCTTCATGCTATTAATCATGTTAATTTACTTTACTACCCCCTATTTTACCCATGAAAAGACAACTTCATCCCTAGATAAAACATCACAAGTTTATCAGGCTGATGAACTTGTATTTTCTCAGAGTTTACCCAAATAAATTTAGGTCAGGCCCAATATACTTTTGTTTATCGTCTTCGTCTTCTTCTTCATCTTTAAACCCTAAACCTCTGCATTCTGCAAAATACACCAAATTCCGCCATTGATAAACTCTCAACCTTAGCTAAAAACAGGGCCAAAAATGCAGCTCTTCGACCTTAACATTCCATATTCAGAATCAAATAAACAAACTCGCTTGAAGTTAGTTGTCAAAGCAATGGAATTAGGTTATTCTGGAATCGCTTACAATCGTTCAATCAAAGGTGTAATGTCGGAATCCGACCGTTGCACAATTTCTCCATTTCCTCTTTTCTCTCTCCTCAAGGCCTCTCCTTTTCTCGCCTCAACTGTTTCCTTTCATCGTCGTCTCCTCGGAGTTCCCGAAAAGTCTGCGTTTCGTCAGTACACTCGTTTGACAATGTTGGTTGAAACATCTACTCAAGTTTCTGCTTTGAATTCGGGTAATCCGATTCTCAAGACTTATGATTTGATCGCTGTTAGACCTTTGAATCAGAATTCTTTTGATATTGCTTGTCAATCATCTCAGGTTTTTCATCATTTTTTTAATTGAATTTATCGTTTTAATCATTGATTTTGAGAATTTTGTTGAATTATTGTAAATTTTGTTGAATTTTCTGTTGATAGGTTGATTTGATTTCGATTGATTTTGCTGATAAGTTGCCGTTTCGACTGAAGCTTCCTATGGTTAAAGCTGCTATTGCGGTTTGATTCTCGCAATTTGTGTGTTTGTATTATTGTGATATTTTCTGTGTATTTGTTTGATTGAAATGGAAATTGAATTCGATTGCGCAGCGAGGGGTGTACTTTGAGATTATGTACTCAAGTCTCATGCAGGATGTTCAACTGAGGAGGCAAATGATATCCAATGCCAAGGTGTGATGATTGTTGATTTATATGGCTAATATTTACCTAGCATGCTATTTACTGCTAATTTAGTGATATTATGCGATTGTAATAAACACTAATTATTGGATTGTATTGCCTTGAAAACGAGAAACGAAAATGTAGCATGACACGTCTTATTGAAGTACCTTGTATTTTAGTTTCTCGTATATCTAAGTATTAGCAGTAGTTATTTGTCAGTGTCTAGGAAGGTTTTGCCATTTTTTGTTGAAAAAATTGATCTAATGTACAACTAAAAAAAAAAGTTTTTTCTAATGTTGCTTTTGTAGTTAGAACTACTGCTTTTGTTATTTGTGAAAACTCGTTTGCATTTGGAGAGGGGTTAATATGTGTAGTTTACTAATCGTTGAACTTTTCTTATACCCTATTCATAAATAACTCAAGCAATTTATTGACATCAGTTATTGGTGGAGTGGACTCAAGGCAAGAACTTAATTGTATCCAGTGCTGCCCCTTCGGTTCTTGAGCTTAGAGGTCCAAATGATGTGACTAATCTATTATCGTTGCTTGGGCTTTCAAATGAGTGTGCGAAAGCAACTATATCTAAAAATTGCAGGTTTGATTTCATTTTTAAAACCTCTATTCCTGCTTCTATTTTCCTCCTCAGGCAAGCTTGGGGGCATGATTAGTGCTTGATATATGTCACCTGCTGTTACCCTTTTCCTTATAACTACTAGTATTTTTTACCCTGCAGACTGTTACTAACCGATGGTATAAGGACAAAGCAGTTTTACAAAGAGGCAATGAGAGTTGACTTGATGCAGCCTGGAGTGCAAACTGGTCATAAAGAGCCTTGGATTGTTGATCATGTTGATTGGGACCCAATTTCTAGTGGTGAAGGTGATTTGTTTTTAGATGATATGGATAAAGCATTTGCCGAGTCTGGAAAAAGTTCCAAAACCATTAAATGCATTGATTCTTCTTCTATTGATGATCATATGCCATCACATGGTTTAAAATTAAACGACACAAGTTTTAGAACGGAGGGTAAACAACGTATGTCCACCAACTTTACAAAATGTCTGTCAACTTCCAAGGATCTCGAGGTGTCCAAAAAGACTGAGAAATTGCATAGTGAGCCAACTTCTTTGTGCAGCATGGATCAACAGGGCAATGCTGCTGAAAACTCTAAGCAAGCAGTTCTGCCCAAATCTCTGCTGGCTTGCAATAATGATGAGGATGGCAGTATTTATTCAGTAATAGCTCTACAAGAGTTGAAGAGCTCTGATGCACTTGAAACCACTACCTCTCCACTTTTACATAAATTAGAGCTGCAGGATCACGTTAATAATGCAGAAAATGTGTTCAGTGATTGTATGAAGGAAATTATCTCAAAAGATGATGGTTTGGATGTGGGCTGTATTGCTGGTTCAAGGAAGGAGGTTTTAATGAAATCTGAGGGTCTTAATTGCAATGGTTTACAGACTGATGAATTGATGTTAGCTTCTGATGTGTTGAACAGTACAGATGCTGAGATCTCAACTGATATGCAATCCTTTGATCAGTCATATATAACACACATTTCTAAATCATCTTTAGATGGAAAACCTCTGGAGCCACAAGAAGATTCAGTAACAGACAAAAACTTGACTTCACCTGCAAGAAATGTGATGGATTTGGACTCATTTAATGAGAGAAACAGTAGTGATTATTTACTACATTGTGACCAGCAACCACTGGAAGAGGTGGAAGAAATTAAGGAGCATAAGGGAGATCACACTGAAGTCAAAACTTACTCTGAAGAGTTTATAGTTGCCGATACCATGCTACCATTGGATCCTCACCAGCATGAAAAAAATGGAAATGATCTTTTAGTTGCAAAATCCATGTTTTCAGATGACATGATGAAATGCAGAAAACACGTACAAGAGGTTGGTGAAGCTGATCATGAATCTTTGGGCAAAAATGGATTAGGTGATGTACTAATCCTATCTTGTAATTTTAGTGTAATTTGTTTATGTTCTCGTTGCATATTCTTTTTATTGCTTTGTTAAATTCTTGACTGAAGTTCAACCAATACACCAACCATCATGCAGTATATCATTATTATGTGATCCTCCCTAAGTAGTTTTTTCTTTGATGTTGATGTTGATGTTGTTAATGGAGGTTAGAAAAGATGCCTGAAAACAGAGGAAGAAAAATCTACATTTTTATGTTTCTTGGAAATAGATTATCTAATTTTGTTTTACTCCCTGTCGAATAAATGCATCCCTTGGGATTGTGTGGAGTTTTTTTTGTGTTTGTTTGTAGCAGTTTTATATTGTGCAAGCGGGGCAAGTGGGTGATTTATTTATTTTAATGAAAAGACAATGGGGATCATGAAAGAGGGGATGTGAAAGAGATTGTTTTTTTTTCAGATATACTTAAGTGGGGACCATGAGAGAGAGAGAGAGAGATAATTATATTTTTTGAGTGTAATAATGGGAAGAGAGTGAAATGATAAAATGTGGTAGAAACTTACCAAGAATAGAAGTAATGCATTTATTTTGGAACAGACGATTAAGACAAGTGGTGTATTTATTTCTGGAATGATGCTTTTGCTAACTCTCTATATGCTATAAAATGCAGGTAATCATAAGGTGAAGCGACGGGATACAGGCAAAGTTATTAGGCTTCCTTTTAAGCGGTTATTTCAAGTTCAATTTAAGAAGAAAAGAAATTCCATCCTCAAGACCAGGAAGAGGTCAGTATAGGGAGAAATTTTGGAGTTTTTCTGGGGCTGTGTTGGCTGTTGTACATGTGAGGCAGTATATACAAATATACAAGCTTTGTTATTACCAGCCTTTTGTCTACATCATGTATTCATGTACTTATGCAACATAAATTCTTTAGAAGAGAATTTCTCATCCTGAGCTCATATTTTCATAGTTGGACAATTGCATTACTTCTCATTATCTGACCTACCTTATAGTTGAGACTTAAGGTTGTACAAATAATTTCACCAATTTTCTTAAATAGATGTTCAAGCCCTCTCAAACCTGTATTATCTTTTAGTCATTCACAGGTCCATGTAGCCATATGGTCGTGAGTCCATGAGCCATAATGAAAGTTCAGCTTGATTTGTTTGGGAGTTTGGGGGCTCCCAATAAGAGTTACCTTAAACCCTTATTCACGATTACTTGCCTGAATAAGACTAAAGGATTAGAAATAGTCCAATGTGAGAAAACTTGATAATAAAACAGAACACTGCAGGATTGGAAAGTTCAAAAGTTCTTCACTTATATTAAGACTATAAAGTCCTTCCTTTGGTCCCTACATTTTTGAGGTGAGGGACAGCTGACTATATATCCTTGCATTTCTTTAGCTGAAATGATTGTCTTACTTGCTTTTTTGGTATGTTTATTTTTTTTTATTTTTAATATCCTATAATTTCTGTAATTTCATACTCAATCATTAGAAAATTGGGTATTAACTAACTAAAGCAAATGATTAAGGGCTTTTTTGTAAGTTTGGGAAAAATGAAGGGTATTTACTTTTTAGGAAACTACACGGAAATTTATTCTGGGAAGTTTATTGAAGTTAACCCTTCTACATTTCCAAAAATTATGGAAATTGCCACTGTTATATACACTATTTACATATAAATGTATAATATTGTAGAACTCCTCATTGGCGTAGCTTCCATTTTATTAGAGTACTTCGTATATAACTACATCCAAGCAATCATCTTTTGTATTGTAACTGTGCCAAGACACCATTGTTTAGATCTTGCTTTTTAAATATAGTCATTAAGATGCTTTATAAGGCTACTGGAGTAGGCATATTAGGATCAAATAAATATTTTTAAAAGAGTATACCTCACAATGTTACAGGTTCTCACTCTGAAGCTGAAGCTATGTGTAAAACAGTCGCAAATTTATTTATTTTTTCTAATTATTTCACTTTTTTGTTTAGTGTGCCTCATGGCCCTCACTTCAGTAAGGCACACTGACCTAAAATTTGCTTCTTGAAATCATCATCCACACCAATTATTATTATTTTTTAATATTATATGTAAAAAAGGCTATTTAAATCATTTTAATCCTATAAAAGATCATTGGGATTTTAAATTTTACATTAAGAAAAGAATTAAAATAACAGGGAGCTGTGGAAGAAGCATCTACTCGAGAAATCTCCTGCTTAGGTTAACAATCTTGACCTTTAGATTTTTCTCTCCCTACAAATTACCTCGACCCAGTTTCTTCTAGTGGAAAAAATTTGAGTGGACTTGACTGGGTAAGTGGCTTCGTTAATTCCAATACTAGAGTCTGGTGACGTGTGAGGTTAGCTACTTTAAAATAAGTTTGAAATTTTCCACCCATGTACTCTATATTTATTTCATGGTGGCTCTTGAATGAGAAATCTTGGGAGGGTGTACATTTTATTTCATGGTGGCTCTTGAATGAGAAATCTTGGAAGGGTGTACCTTTTATTTCATGGTGGCTCTTGAATGAGATATTTTGGGAGGGTGTACCTAACTCGTGCTTATTTCTTACCCCAATTTGGAGTGGTGAATAGGAAAACCAGTCATGTTCCTTGAAATTTTGTACACATAATTCTTATTTGATCTCCTATATTTAGCCCTCCAAATGAGATGATTGAATGGAAGAGATAGGGTGAGTGATATGAGAGGGGGTGGTTTACGGAGGGTGAACCTATAAAAAGAGATGGAAGACAAATATTTCTTTGGAGAAGTAACTAGGTAGTGCTTGATGTGGGGATGCTTAAGCCATTTGCTGTGACACTATTTGGCTTACTTTAGCATGATCATTTTATTTTGCCTGCTACCGATTTTTTCATGACCTGTGATGAACATATTTTTGTTGAATCATTTTATATATCGACTCTTCTAGGTGGACTAGGTCATAGAAAATAAGCTTGGTCGTGTAGTCGCATGTACAATATCTCATGATTTTAATTAATTATTTATTTTTATTATTTTAGACACTGGAGAAAATCTCACTAGTGTTATGTCACCTTGTTCAGTATATGAAAATTTTCTTTTCATTTTGTTTTAAACATATTGTTTTTCACTGTTGTAAGTATTTGTTTTCGAACCTTGTTAATTAAAAAAGGGGTTTTAAATCTGTATGACTAAAATTTATGAGAAATTTATGAGAACCCTTTGTACTTGTGATTTTGATTGTATATGTCTGCTTTATTGCTCTTGCAGTACTGTTCTTTAATGGATGTCTCAGTGTGATTTCAAAACACTTGTCGCAGAACAATCTATTGTTGAATGGAGTTGAAAATCTGCTGCACAATGGTCTTTACATTATAAGACAGCCTATGTTTGATTCCATGATTTAGGTGGAAATTCCGTAATTAGGTGTTTGGTTATTTGTTTGACAAAAATAAACATGAAGATGGAATGAAAAAATTATATATGCATATTGTGGATTCCATTGATAATATTTGCAGGTCAAGATTCACTGTCAGGTATGCTCTATTCTTCTAAATGACCTCAGTGCATCCACCATAGTATTACATGCTCATCCACCCCCCAGAAAAGCTCTTTAGGAACATGTGATTTGGGTTATAGTATGCTGGTGTACTTGTTGAATATTTGAAATTATATTATATAGCCAATTATGTTCCCATACCCATGCATGTGCTTGCACAATAGAACATACCGTATTCCAAATACACTGGTCCATTCAATGAAATCATTGCTGAAATATTTTGTTTCTGCTGTGTAAGACTCCGAATTCTTCATGGCTAAGCAATTGGGGACTATTACTTGCTTCATTGGAGGAGATGGAGGTAGTGGATTAGTCAATTCTATTTATAATGTTATGTTATAGCGGCTATTACAAAAATTCATTTAGTCTTATACTTTGCATTTTTCTTGGAAGGCATCACATGATGGAGACTCATCTTTCAGTAAATAGACCCTGAAACCTGGTATTTTAGGTTTATAGCCTTTTATCCCATTACTTAATCCACTTGTATATAGAAAAGTACCATGCCTCCCTATGCCTTTAATCTTAATGATGGCGTTCTCTAGGTTAAAGGATTCCTAGAATATACTTGAGGAACATTCCTTTTTTACCCAGCTGCTTCCTTGTCTTTAGCATTTAGACCTCACAGTCAGATTGTATGTGTTGCTGCTCAATTCACATGTGAAGGTGGATCATTCTTGTTTTTGCTATTATTTAAATAAAAATACTTTCTTTTGTTTTTCATTGTGTTGGAGATGAGAAGCTAACAATATGATTGCTTTTGTATACCTTCTTTCCAACCAGAAGTGGATTTCCTTGCAGGGAATAAATGCATGGGGATATGGCATCTAGTTCTTGCTACCTGAGCTAGAGAAACCTCACAATGTGTCTGCCTTGCACTAGCTAATAGGTAAACAGGCTTAAAGGAAGCTGTTACTGGGTAAATCTTTGCTGAAAGTGGTGCGTGTAAATCCCTAGGTGTCCCCATGAGGTTTTAATTTATTTTCATGATTAAACGTGTGATTCCTTTTTTCCTTTTAATACTTCCTGGATTCTACTGCAAGTTTCCCAACTCTTTTGCTAACTGATAGAAGTGCTACTCATGTGCTAGCTGCATATCTTGTGTTATGTTTCTGGTGGGACATAGGCACGTAGCCTTACTGGCACCTGGAAGTATAATGGTTAACAAAATAATTATAGCAATTGGCGGCTGCTGATTTTATGATTTATCATCTGAATAATTTGTGTGCATCTTATTCTATAATGAAAGATAATGATGATTTAACAACTAATGCCTTTTCCCATTTAATAGGGGGCAGGTAGGTTGCGGCTCCATGTCGATCTAAGCAGTAAGCATTATGTCGGTCAGTAACTTAATTCTATTCCTCTTTTATTATCTTTTTTATTCTGTCATGTGCATAGCCATTTTCTGTTCTATGTGATATTTCTAAATTATAAAATTGTGATGGTCCTATCCTCCAGGCCACAATTTTTTGGGGGATTTTCTAGCTATCAGACTACAGATGTTTTATTATTCTTTAGTTCATTCCGTTACGTTTTTTTCTTCTTTTCTCCTAATATATACCGCTTGGCAGTATTTTCAAGAGCTTGAAGTTATTTAATTTCACTTAAAATACTATGAGTTGCTTTTGTGATTTAAATATGCAAACTATGCAAAACTTCCTGCTTAAAATTGCGCGAATTTATCTCGAGGAAGGTAACCATTATTATATGGTGTACACTAAACATAATAAATATCTATGAATTTGTGTGATATTATTTACATGCCAAATTTTCTAGAGTCCAACTTTGATATCTATGATAGTTAACATCTTTGAATATACTCCCCCTGTTCTCCCCCCTTCTCTCTGTCAATCACAACGTAGAAGGATTGCACACTTGCAGGGTATTTTTGGAGACCCATGTGATATAGAGATAGATAGATAAAATCATTGGCCTAATAAAATAACGTTGCAAATAATATCCTAAAAAGGAATATATTGCTAATTAGAAAGGAGAAAGTATTGTGTTCTGGACAGGTTTGTATGGTTAATAATAGGGGTGGATGTATATACAACAAACCAGAGTCTGAACTCTGAAGTTTCTAAATATTAATTAAGGATTATAATACTTAAAATAGTTATTAAAAAGAAATATGCTAGGCATTTGACTAATATGAAGTAAAAACTGAAAGCTAAAAAACTACCAATGACATGACAGGTGTCCACAGTATATTAATAAAAATTAACCATTTGCAAATTTTAGATTACACCGCGGGTTGGTAACCATTTGATGATACTGTAAACCATATTCTGAATACACCGCTGGTTGATAACCATTTGATGGCACACTAAAGGCATTGGGCTTACATAGAGTTTGAAATATTTTTAATTAATCTAATCATTTAGTAAATTGGCTAGCAATTCCGTCAAAGACGGGCAGGTAGTTTTACTAATATTATAATATGTTAGTTCCACGAGCGGCCGACAAAAGGAAAGTTGGCCGCCAAAATAGAGATTTTTTTGTCATAGTTTTTGCTGATTATCATTATGAGTTTCATCAATATAATATGCTTAGTAGGCATAATTAAGTGTAATCACATTATTAGTGTTACAGATTAAAATATGTAGCGATATTACAGCATTCTTTCTAAAAGCCTGTCCAACTTTTATTTAATGTTCTATGGGGCCAAATAATGGCGTAGAACTTGAACTAGTTCTGAATTGATTGGGGCATTCAAAATGATGTACACTTATTTTTTTCATGCATGACCCCGTCATGCAAAATACTATGCAAACTACTTTGAATGCTTATCAATTCTAGTACCAAGTTACTTAGGATACTTCACCCACCAGAATTATATACATGATGAATTCCTAGGATTGCTGCTTGCTGTATGCTGCAATTTGAAAACAATGTTTGACACTTAAAAGTCTAACAAGCATTCTAACTGATAATGGACATTCTTCAAGGAACTAAATTGGTAGAAAGGGAGTTCAGGAGATGAATCCACTGCCCTTCATCCTCATCGTCTTCATCACCTGCCATCTGATTCCATTGTAGGTCTTGGAAAGTGGTAGGCTGTTCGATTTCATCGTTCCTTGCAAATCGACCCCGTATTCTTGGCCTGCTGTCTGCTAATGTCTTCCTGCATGCGTACTGATGGCCAAGCATTGCAACCATAGAAGAGTTAGTTAGGTGTTCTTTCTGTGCTATATGAGAAAGATATAAAATGTTATCAAATATAAATTAATCATCTGGACTAGGGTCTGTAGGCTTTCCTAATGATAATTGAAATTCAGTGTTTGATTTGCTTCATTTGCAAGAAGTTACAAACACGATTAATACCTGGTTGCTCTACTCATTCTAATCTACAGTGCTATTTTGATGATTGACTGCCTTTACGCTGAATATATTTTGTTTATTAGTGGTAATGACTGTAATTCTCAGCTTTCTCATGTCACCAAATCCTTTATTAGTGGTAATGATTGTAATTCATCTTGAATTGGACATGTTTCAATTTACCAGGTTTATTGTGGTTAAGCCTGCTAGAATTCTGGAATCTTGAAGAATTTACAGTTTTAAGTCTTACCTGTATTTTTTTGTTGAAATTTCTCTGGTTTCTCTTGCTGCGATACCTCTCAATTCTTTCTTTTTTCTCTTCAGGACTGTAGCGACATGCCTTAGTCATACCTTCAATGATAATGCTTGTACTTTCATTTGCCAATGGACTTCCAACCGGGTGGTGATGGTGGTGGCGTAAGGTTTGGACTCCCTGTCATGAGAATGAGCAATTATGTTAACTAGAAGGAATCTGGTTTTAAAAGTAAGTGGCGTTTCCTGATTTATGTATATATTGTCGTTTTAATAGGTTTCCTAAGTTGTAACTATTAAGATAATGTCAGTAATATTTGGGTATTTTCGACATAGTTTAAAATGATTTGAAGAATTACCTGATCCAAATCACCTGTGCTAAAAACCCTTCTAACTGACCCAATATCCAGGTCATGAAGTCCAACAGGAGACGAATCATGCTGGTAAAACCCGTTTTTATGGAGTGAATGGCTACTGAGGCTTCGCTGCATCAAAGAGGCAGTAGTATTTGGTGGGTGACTACTGGTACAACTCAGAGGTGAATTTGGTGAGCCTATGTAACTACTGCTAGTACACCCGCTCCCAGTACTTGTATTCCCATTGGCATTTGCTAGCATGAAAGCTTCGTTAATAGAATCGAAATCTCCTGCAAGTGACTGGACCAACATAGGCGATAAATTCGAAGGGTAATTTTGGTTAATGAAATCAGCGGAATGATCAACAAAAGAGCTGTTATTCTGACAATACATGGTTAGTGTTTTGTTTTTCAGAAATGAAATACAAGATCTTGAAAATTCAAATGAATATAAATGAAGATTCTTTGTGCTCTTGCCAACTTGTATATATATGAGATTATTGCTAGGAGCTTTCTCTAATGCAAAAGCGTTGACTCATTACCTACATTCTTGTCTCTCTAGCAGTACCAGTGTACCACCACTTCCTCAGTTCCCCACCCAAAAAAGTAATTACAGTAACCTTTTCCTTAATCTATATTAATCATACCTTAATAAAGAGTTTTTAATCTCATGTAAAGTCTAATCAATCCTCTTATTTACACTGATGTCTTTTAACTTTAAGATTATATTTTGTATACGTAGTATTATTTTTTGCCTCAGGGGTCACTTAAAGGTTTCATTTAGGAATTAACTTAGGCTATGTTTCATGATCTAATTATCTTTAACTATAAATTCTATTATATTCAATTAGCTCAAAAGAGAGTTAGATGTCCTTTATTTTTATGTAAAACCTTCAAATTTTTGCGAAAATAGATTTTGTTAATTAATTGTTGATTGGTATGTTAATAAAATGTATTTTTATCATCTAAAATTAAAAGTAAATTTATTCCCATGTGTTTTAGAGGTAGTAATAACAGGCTAAATACAGTAAAAACTAGTAAAAGATAGGATGGAAAAAGAGAAAGGGCCCAAAATGAAGATAAGCAACAGTAAAATGATAGAAAACGAAAACCCCACCCAAATTTTGATTCTCTTTCCGGCGGGGTTGCGCGGGGTCTACGGAAGATAGACTCGTTGAGAAAGACTCAATTTGCAGCATTTTTTCTTTTTTATATTCAGCCCCCATGTGATTACCATATTACTCATACGAGTAACACTCATTTTTATTTTATTTTTTTAGGTCACCTTTTTATTATGTAGAAATGGAGTAGATACATAATTAAATTAGTTAATAACTTTAATAAGGTAGGTACTTTCTCGGTCTTGTAATAATTATAATTCAAGTATCGTATCTTATAGTCAAATTTTGTATTCAATAACCTTTTTTAAAAAAAAAAATGGTTTTTGGTGTAGAAAGAGTCATAAAATTTAATGATTTATGAGTAAATGATATGTAATTGACTAATTTCATATATTAGGTACTTTTCTCAAAACTATATCTCATAAATTCTCAAAAGTCAAATGTAACACTTAATATGAGACAAAGGAAGTGACTCAAATATTTTTCTCAGAGTTACTAACTTAGTTCAATCTAAAACATCTTCGAGGTTTGGATGGGGTAAGAAAATACTACAGTACTTGCCTCCAAAGACCAAGATCTAACCGTTAGAATAAAACTATGCCTGGTAAGTATGCTACTATTCTTGTTGTTGTTGTTGTTTTTGTGTGACGTTGACACTGGCTCTCCATCGTTGACTAAAGAGTAATTAGGTTTCAAATAATTTAGTACTAATATTAAGGTGGTTGTTTCATAAGTTATTGTCATTATTGTTAATGTCAATATATTGATGTTTTCATTTACTCATATGTAATAAGTTATTAATCTCAAAAAATGTTACATTTTTAGTTATAAACCATTAAAAATTAAGTAGGATTAAGAAAAACTTACATGGCTACACCCATTCAATCATGCAATTGAGGTAGTTCAACATTGTAGATGAGAAGAACAAGTTTTGCCTCATCAGTGTCATCAGAAGCTCAAAATTAAGGAGGGTTTTTTTTTTTTTTTTTTCTAAATAATTTCCTGATTTGGATACATAAACTTTATCTAGGATTGTAAAATCTTACCTACCAAATATAAATAAATAAAATGTACAACTTTTTAATTGATCAAAACTTAGCTGTCATTATTATCTCAAAGACGTAGTTATCTTTCCGAGCATGCTTCTTAATTAAAAGATGACTCTTGTTGCTTTCTTGATGCATGCTTGCTACAACTTTTATTTTTTAATCCTACAAACATTTTGATAATCTCTCTTCTTAAATTTGTTTCAATATACATTTTCGAAATACCAATTCTAATGTTTTTTATTAAGGAATTTTTAACATGAGTGGATAAACCTTTGCTCGATTCTCCAATAATAGACTGACCTTTAAATCTTCCCATTTTGGACAGAAGTTTGCATTTTTTTTCTCCCTAAATGGACCAAATAGGTCACCCAACCTGTTATATCAGGTAAAATGCCACTTGTCATTTTATCATTGGTTAAGCTTTTTTTTTTTTTTTTTTTTCTTTCTTTCTTTCTTTCTTCTTTCCTCCTGATCCCTTTTCCCTTTCCCTTTCCTTCCTCCTTCCCTCCATTAATTCCGACCACCGCAGCCGATCTCTTTCTCTTTCTTCAATTCCCTCCCACCGCCGCCGCCTCTCGTCGCCCATCTCTCTATTTTTTTTATGGGTTTCAGGTTGGTTGAATAGAAATTTGGGGTGGGTTTTTGGTGGTTAGGGGTTCGTTTCGGTGATTAGGGGGTGGGTTTGGGGTAACTATGGTGGTATTCCGGAGTGGGTTAGGGGTTGGTTTCGGTGTGATTGATCTCGGCCTTCGCTGGCGTTAGGGAAAAGGGTCGGCCGGCGTTAGGGAGGGTGGAAAAGATCGAGAGGGGTTAGGGGTGAGATTACGCAGGTTTAGCAATGGAGGCGGGGGTCGGTCCAGTGGGGTGGGGCTGGGGTGCTAGTGGCGTTCGATTCAAAGATAGGGCCATGGGTTTTGGGGTGGGTGAGGTTTCAGTTTCAGGGTGGGATTTTGGGGTGAAGGGGTTGGTCTGGTTGGGTGGGGCTGGGCTGTCGGGAAGAAGGTGTGGGTGGGTGGCTGGGGGAAAAAGGAGAGGTGGTCTGCGGTGGCCGGAGTGAGTGAAAGGTGGTCTGTGATGCGGTGGCCGGAGTGGAAGGTGGTCTGTGCTGCGGACCTGCGGTGGCCGGAGTGGTGGGTTGGGCGCTAGCAGTCGCCGTCAGACGGAGGGAGGAAGGGTGGCTGGTAGTGGGGTCAGGGAAAGAGGGGCTGAGTGGATTGGAGGATTGATTTTTTTTATTATTATTTTTTTATTATTAAAGTTGACTTGAATAACCGGTTGCAGGTAAACTCAGTTCATTATGGGCGAAAAAATGCAAAATTCTGTCCAAAATAGGAAGATTTAAAGGTCAGTCCATTATTGGAGAATCGGGCAAAGGTTTATCCACTCATGTTAAAAATTCCTTTTATTAATACAAAACAAGAGTTATTAATAATAATGGTAAAAAATTTACCCTAACAAACATGAATAGACGACAAAAGGAAATGGAGTTAGCACTTGTCAGCAAACTGACCCTTTTATTTAAAAATAAATAAATAAATAAATAAAATACAATATATATGTGGAATTACATGATCTGATCTAAATCAAAGCCTCATTTGTGCAAAGCTTAACATAAATGAAAATCATTAAAGTGGTGATTAAACCATTTATGACTTCAACATCCCAAATTTATTCTCATATATTGTTTGTGTAGGGGACCTCAGCTCAGTGGCATCAGATTCAGTATAATTTCAAAACGGGCCGGGTACCCATATATGATCTAAATCTAAATAAAGCTGGAAAACATACATTACATAATATACAGTGAAATGATGTAAAATATGGACTTTGAAGCAATATAGATATATAGGCAGGTACATTACATTACTATATGAATGTGAAAGAGAGCAACTAACTAGAATCAAAGTACCTTGACGTTTCATTACATGGTTGGGCAACCACCAATTCAGAACCAATCGCCTTCCAACTTCCTTTTTGCATGAATACTTGCATTACGTTACACATGGATCGGAGTATAGTACAACCTTTTTTTTATTTCACAAACTTTTACAGTAATTTAATTGAGTGTACAATCTCCGTTTTTTTTTATAATTGTAACATTTTGACTTTGTAATAGCTTTTGTTGTGATTCTAGATACGTGTAAAGACAAATATAATCATGTAGAGTCTTCTTGTTAGAATAGTTGTGAATACTTTCAAAATATTAAATTTGTATAATTTTTACATAACGGCAATAAAAAATAGTAATGTGTGCACAACATACAACGTGAAAATCCAAAAATGTTGCACTTATTTTAAGTAGAGGATCGGAAGTATTGTACATGACTACTCGTAGTAAAGATACTCCGTATTCTGAAATGATCAAAAGTTATGATAATATGAATAAAATTTACTTTCTTATTATTAATAAAGTTAATTGTCTTTTTAAAAAAAAGTAATAATCAAATCCATATTATAAAACTTATCTCATGATCTAATAACATTAAAATCATATGGAGTATTAGGTTTAAATATTATTGTACACTCCATGTACACAAATGTACTTAGCTTGGAAGCTTTTATTTCCTTTTAACCCTTGCTTTTTTTTTTTAATTTTTTTTTTTTAATTTTTCATGGTTTGTCTTGTCACTTTCATATAATTTCATTCCCTCCCAATATATTTTTGTCATTATAACAACTTGATCATTTGATTTGTCGCCCTATCATTGGAAGGTTTTTCTGACATTGTATGATGGATTTTTTTTTTCTGTAGATCTTGTTCATTTTCGCCAAATTTTTCTTACGATTTCTTATCATAGATAGTCGTTTAATCATGACTAGAATATGAGAATATTGCAACATTATTAGGGTTTTGTAAATAATGACTACTAGAAATTGAAAATAATTATTCACCACACATTAGTAAATTCCATTATTATTACTACTGTGCTAGAAGAGAGGAAAAATAATGTAGATAATACCAAATTATTTAGTATTAAGTATTCGTATTTTGTGGTACCTTTGCATCTTGACAATAATCATGCACATACAATTCAAAAAATAAAAAGGGGTTATTGTTATTATAGTTATATACTTGAATTTGCATACTTATTTCGCTTATGTATGTTAGCGTGAAGTATGACTTGTAACAAAGTTGTATGGCTGTGTTTTGTGCACAAGCACTGCCTTTGCCACCATTAATCAACCATATATAGAACTCCATATTTGTTTCCACTAATTACTTTCAAAAGTTATCGAGTAGCAGATTATGTGTAAATTTAGAATAGCCTTTAATTATTGTTGTTTTCATTAGTACTTATGTTATTGAGTAGTAGATTATGCGTTTATTGAGATATTAGAGTATTAGATATCTTGTAAGTTGTAATGTTCTAGTTAGTATCTCGTGGGACACTATAAAAATTTAGAGAGCAATACGTTGTGTATGCCTAACGTTGGCCTAATTAAAGAGTTGAAGTGGAAGCAGAGAAGAGTTGAAAAGCAAT